CTCAAGGAGCTCGGATTCACTGGTGTACTTTTGAATAACTCGGACCATATCGCAATGGCCAACAAGATTTTCAGCTAAACCCTTGGTACGTTCATTCAAGGACAACTTTTACGATTTCTTACGACATCTGGGCATTATCCGAGTTGAGTTACAGTCTCGTGCGCTGCGAATGATGGGGCGTGTCAGCGCTGCGGCATTTGGCGCCGCGTCAACCGTTTTTCCTTTTAGTAAGCGGTAATACTGTGTCATTGCGTTCATAAAAGTCGTTTTCCACTAGTTTTTGTCGCTTATCCGCTTCAATAACTGGTGGAGAACGGCACTGGAAGCGTGTCAGGCGCAGCCCCAATGACACGCCCCGTCACCCGCAGCGAACCAGACTGTACGATGACGATTGTCGTAGCGTCTCAAGACACTTCATTAACGTATTAGGTGACGTCAATGTAAGGTCATCTGTTCTACCAAGTAGGCAAGTGATTGGACCGTCCGTACCCTGTTCTGCATCAACACCATGATCTCTACCAGTTAGGAAGAGAGGGCTAGCGCGCTTTCTAAACTGCCTCGTGAGCGTGGAGGCATGATATAAATGTCTAAGATTTGGTTTGGGCCTCATTTTGCCTACTTTTGTGCGCTTTATTCCTTTTTTTCATCAACCGCTCACTAGTCAGCGCGGTAAATTACCTACTGTCAACTTAAAGGAAGAACCCGCGATTACTCGCCATCTCAGATGGTGGATTAGGGGTTCCATATAGACGACAAGGGGTTGAGTAACTCGACTGTGAACAAAAAAGCACAAAAAACATGCCACCTGCCCTAGATAGAACCCCATTTCGATCCCAGTTTGTACGTGCCCAATCAACTCTATCTCCAAAACTACGCCCTCATATGCACGGCTGATTCACCGATAAGATTTCTACGATCGTACAAGTGGCGATTATCATGCTGATGGGAAGTCGGTCATTAGGGGCGGAGTCTGGAGGCGGAGTCACTGGAAAAAGGAGGAGCCACTGAACCTATATTGCGCTACAGCGCCCCTCCCATAGAATTTTTTGCCGCGAAACCGGTACAAGGTTGTTCGTCGCGGACCACTCTAACCTCCTGACGCCATATTTTCAACTTCGATACCTGATCGCGGACCGTGCCTTTAATTAGGTACCCACTGCCTGCGCAGATCGGCTTGCTGGTGGCATCAAACCGTGCTCAGCGAAGCTTGTACAGGTTACCTTGAACCTAGCTGCGACTTTCTGTTACTAGGAAGGTTCATATGTAAGGACGGTCCTGATGGCCGATGAAAATGTAAAATATTGCGTGGGAAGGGTAGCGTGGTCCGCACTGAACAACTTGGTACCAGCTTTGCTGGGAAATTTGTAAAGTAAAGGCGCTAGGGCGCTAATCTGGCCAAGGGACCCTTTTTTCCAGTGACTCCGCCTTCAGACTCAGCCTCCAAAATCTGCTTTGCGGCGAAAGAAGATGCTACCGGATGAGTAGTATAGAATGGAAGCATCGCTGTCTCTTTTGCAGTCGTAGGGCACTATAGGGGGTTTTGATGACTGGATTTGCCCCTACATGCGCTGTTTTTCGCGCTACTCATTCAGTTTGCTGGGAGGTGAAGAATTTCTATCTTTTCTGAAGTTTCTTTTTGCATCTTCCTTTGGGACGAGTCCCTTGGCAACTTCTCTTCCGTAATTCAACACTACTAACGCTCCCCATCGCGAATCGTGCCTTTAGGCCATTCAGCAGCGTTGCGGACTTTAGTTGATATGAATTACCGGAAGGAACTAGCGCATACAAAATGACCCCCCTCCTAAGCCGATCAGTGCCTTTGCTCCTTATCGGTCACTGCCTTTCACTTTCTGAACTTGTTCGCCTTCCACCTCTACTTTTCAGTTCCTCTTTGTTCTTATTTTCGAAGCTTCTAACTCAAAGTACAGTCTACGCATGACTGTTTTGGGGGGAAGATAGTTCATGTCAGCATTGCATCCCTTCCCCCCACAGCGTCGCTTAATCAGAAGGTAGTGGAAAGAGGAGGCCCGCCTCCTCAGAGGTGCAGCAGAAACCCACCACCGTTTTGTGCTGCACATTGGCGCAAACAGTCGATCCTGCTGCTTCCCTGCAACGACGTGCCCTGAAGTTCTGCCAAAAACTGCAAGCACAAAATTGAATTTCAGACATTCACTGATATCGACCGCGGTTGCGAGTCACTTAAACGCAGTTGCTTATCTCAGTCCCAAAACCACGGCTACTGCTTCCTCTATCGTGATGGTTGTCCAAAAAATGAAGAGGTACAGAAAAAAATCAGCCACAAGGTGGGTCTGCAATGTACAATAATGAATTGTAATTTAGCTGTATTTTATCAGTTATTCAATCTTTTAGATCCCCTTTTTCAGGACCTAGAACGCTCTCGCGAGAACTGCCCTACATGGAAACGAAAATGTGCAGCGAAATACCCAAAACATTTTGCCTGTCGAACGTATAAACGACAATGTGGACCGATTGATTTTCCTATTGGAAACAATTCGACTGATCATGGCAAGGTGATATCAGAAAATCATTTGATAGTTCATGGTGGTGGGGCTTTGTGAGAGCCAAGAGATTCGGCGCAGTTTGCCACCGGGGGGGGCATTTTCACTCTGGTGAAACCTGTGAACTCTTGTGAAGCTGGAGCAAGCTCGTCAAGCCATCATGGTAAAACCTGTCAACTCGAGAAGAGGCTGTCTAGATGGGTCACGTCGATGGGAAGTCGTTGAAGTGCAAAATGCCTCCCCCCCCCTCCTCCCCTGTCAGCAAACAGCGCCGAGGTCCTTTTCAAAAGGATTAAAACAGCAATTCTTCAAGAATGGAGCACGAGATAGCGTGGTGTACATCTACGAATGTAAAGATTCCAACTAATTGAGCAGTGAAGATTATACAAAATAAAACATAGAAAAGGCACCAAGTGCACTCCATATCGCGTAGAGATGGGGTAGGCGTGGCTGCATACGTTATTTGAACGTGGCGGCGCCTGCGCTTGTGTTGGATAATGATCTTTTGGGACGAGTGTGATAATGTGATTATGCCAGCAATGGTGCAATTCGTAAATGGGGAGGGAGAGAGAAAAAGCGGGGAGGCAAGAGCTCTGTAGCCCTCACAAAGCCCTCTTCCCGAGCTGAGAAAGTTGCACATTCCGCTCGGTTTGCGACTGTGCCGTCCAGTCCAAGAAAAAGTTTCTGCATGTTGGTTAGTCCGAATTCAGTCTTAAACATCTTAATAATAATCTTATCTTAATAGTTGAAATAACAAGAACGTTTCCAGGTTTCTCTGAAGCTCGTACGGAAATGCATAAAATGGCAGCGGAAATGCGAAGAGAAGTACCCGAAGCATTTTGCATGCCGTCAGTTCAAGCGAAAGTGTCGTTCAGTCCATCTACCGCTTCATTCCAACAGCACATCTGTGGACAGTACCAACTCAACTAGAACTATCTTGGACGACACCGAGTCCGAAGAGCATGAGGTTAGGTTTGGAATTAGTCGTGGAAATTTCGGTACCCATCGTCCATGTCATGGTTCCTGGAAGGGAGTTCCATTCAGCTTAACAACTTGCTACACTCTGCTGCTAGAGCGGTGACCGGTTTCAACAAGCATGTCCATCGCGTGCTCACAATAGACATCGCTGACACAGCCCTGTCAAGAACTGTGCGTCTTATCTGAAAAATCAACCCGAATTGGGGGAGAATAGAGGTGACGGAACAACTCCTCATACAGTGAGAAGACGCGGGTGGGCCGCGGATTCCGAATAAGGTCGCCTGGCATCTTCCGCCCGAGGCTTTCCTTCCACCCAACCATACTTCCTGACATATGACCATCTGCATAGGCTCCGATCTACGTCTCCAGTAATACTTGGGCAGATTTCACAACCTCCCAGAGGCTATTAGAGATAAAGTGAGCATACTGGAACTCATGAATTTTGATGGTCATAAATTTTAGGCGACTCTCCGTATTGCCCACCCCTTTCTCGAACCGGATGTGCTGAACTCCTGCATCTTTATATAAAACCCTCCCTAAACAGATCACTCACGGAAATAGTCATCCAAAATTCTTTCATGAGCAATCTGGTTAGTTGGCTGGGTTCGCGCTGTTGCAGAGCAAGATTACAGTGAGCTGTACGAGCGCCATCTGTGACATTTAACCACGTCGCTCTCAGGGATCTGGCTGGCTTAGGCCTACCACAATGCTGCTTGAACGCGCTGTCCCCGCCCACTAACGTAATAGCCTCACAACACGTACCTCGCAATATATAACAACCAAAAATCCGCACGTCAACCAGGGATCGCCTGTTAAGCTGTTGATATTTCAGGGTGAAGTGAAAATATTGGAACAGTGCAAGCAATGGAAGAAGACATGTGCGAAAAAATATCCAGAGCACCACTCCGTGCGCGAGCAGTACCGACGCAATGTGGCTCTTCGCCGCAACGCAAAGCTGAGGTTCAAAGGATAGATAGCACCCTCAGTCTTCCCCTGAGTTCTTCCAGTTCTACTGTAAAATCAACAGCACCGAAGCTGAAAACGTCCACTAACACGACATCGACTGATATTGATGACGAGTTCAGCAACGAAAATGAGGACACGTCTGATTTGATAGATATCGATTAATGAGATCTTACTTAGTATTCTTGACGCATTGGTTGTTTTACTTACCATGTGAATTCTCTTATATTATTCCGCTACAGAGACGCTGTGACTTTGTCAGGGGCTGGTTTAGCCGCCGCAGTTTCTGGGGCAACCGATTGTAACGCATACTGCAAAATGTGCTCCAAGATGTACGATTTCAACGCTGCACTACCTAAATAAAAACAAATACTCACGTATACAAACTGCTCGATGTTATCAACATCCTCGCTCGGAGCCTGGTTTATAAATGAGAGGTCCTAAATCCAGAGAAGCTCAAAATTTTCCAGGAGTTCAGCCAAATCAGGTCGAACCCACAATTTCCGCAGTAATCGAAGTAGAACTCGGACAAGGTCACTAAACATGAGTTCACAAGTTGTCCTGTCGTAGCTGTTAGGCTACGTTCATGCTCTGCGGCAGCGTCCACCAGCTAGCGTCCCCCAGCGTTCCGAGCATCCGGCAGCGTCATCGACTAGGAAAGTTTAATGTCGATCCGTCTGCTAACGTGCGTCAGCGTCCTCCAGCGTCTCTCAGCATTCGCCAGCGTCTACCAGCGCTCACCAATGTCTCGAAGGCCTGGGAAGTATAGATAACGATCTAGCGTCTACCAGCATTCGGGAGAGGAGTATGGCGCGATAGGAAGGTGACAGACTGCTGGTACCCTTCTGTCCCTCCATACTCTCTAACAGCAGTCTGTTACCCTCCTATCTCCCCATACTCTACCAGCTGTCTGCTACCCTCCTATCGCGCCATACTCTCCTCTTCCGACGCAAGTGCACGCTGGCAGATGCTGGCAGACGCTAGATCGCCAATACTGTGCTTCCTAGTCGCTGAAGCTGCCGGACGCTTGGATTGCTGGTGGACGCTGACGCAAAGTATGAACACAGCCTCAAAACTTTGCCGATTTCTTGTTTGGCGTGATGGGTTTCGGGACAAAACAGCAAAATTCTATAGTCTGCAAGGGACTCTTGCTTCAGTTGTCTGCAATGTTCAGAGGGACAGAGAGCTCCAGATTGGGTGAGGATAAGTGACAAATTGGAACCTGCCAAGTGGCTCATCCAACCTGGATCGACGCCTTTTCTACATGCCACACCTCTAGCTTTGACGCAAAATCGGGGACCCCTCGCAAGAAATTTGACTTTTTCTCGTCATTATCCAGCTAGCAGCATAACCGCCAAAAGCGTGACTTATATGTGGCTACTTGCTTCGCAGCCACCGTATCGCTCCGTCAGAATGAATGGAGCGAGCGAATGAGGGATCTGAGGAGGTCGTTCATAAGGTGACTGCAGGTATCAAATTTCTTCTCATATCCGATGCGGTCCAAGCGCGAAATAAGAAGCTGTTCCATAGAGAAATGTCAGCGCTATACGGTAAATGTGTTGCCTTATTCAACCGTTTCTTCTAGAGAGCAGCGAGTCGTTTTTGCAATGTGACGTCCAGCTTCATCCTGGAAAAGGGTGAACTGCTGTTTTTGGACGCTACTATCGCTTTACTGTTGTCTACGAGGCCGTAATCTGCTTGAA